TCTCTCTCCCCTTCCTCTCCTCCTCCTCACCCCATCCTACCTCCCCTTTCGTCTTAACTCCCAGAAACAAAACCACCAACACAGATGTGACACTTATTCAGTCTGATCAGTCAAAACCTACATCCAGCACATTATCTATATCTCCTACCTAGAGTCAAGTCAGCTCCAGTGAAGAATCAATCATCAGCTCCAGGTGAGAAGAGTCAAGTGCTCCGCTCCTAGGTGAAGAGTCAGAGTCAGCTCTGGGTAGAGGTCAAGTCATCAGCTCCTGGGTGAGAAGGGGTCAAGTCATCAGCTCCTGGAGGTAGAGAGTCAGAGTCATCGGCTCTGGTGAGAAGGGTCAAGTCATCAGCTCCTAGGTGAGAAGGAGTCAAGTCATCAGCTCTGGGTAAGAGAAGAGTCAATCATCAGCTCCTGGGTAGAGAGTCAAGTCATCAGCTCCTAGGTGAGAAAGAGTCAAGTCATCAGCTCCTAGGTAGAGAAGTGAAGTCATCAGCCTAGGTAGAGAGTCAGAAGTCAGCTCCTGGGTGAGGAGGTCGCTCTAGGTAGAGAAGGTCAAGTCATCGCTCCTAGGTAGAAAGAGGTCAAGTCATCAGCTCCCTGGGTAGAGAAGGGTCAAGTCAGCTCCTGGGTAGAAAAGTAGTGGCTCCTAGGTGAGAAAGGAGTCAAGTCATCAGCTCCTGGGTAGAGAAGGGTCAAGTCAGCTCCTAGGTGAGAAGAGTCAAGTCATCAGCTCCTGGGTGAGAAAGGTCAAGTCATCAGCTCCTAGGTGAGAAGAGGTCAAGTCATCAGCTCCTAGGTGAAAGTCAAGTCATCAGCTCCTGGGTAGAGAAGAGTCAGGTCATCAGCTCCTGGGTGAGAAGAGTCAAGTCATCAGCTCTAGGTGAGAAAAGTCAAGTCATCAGCTCCTAGGTAGAGAAAGGTCAGGTCATCAGCTCCTAGGTGAGAGAGTCAAGTCATCAGCTCCTAGGTGAAGAGTCAGTCATCAGCTCCTGGGTGAGAAGAGTCAAGTCAGCTCCTAGGTGAAAGAGTCAAGTCATCAGCTCCTAGGTAGAAGGAGTCAGAGTCATCAGCTCCTGGGTGAGAAGAGTCAGAGTCATCAGCTCCTAGGTGAGAAGAGTCAAGTCATCAGCTCCTGGGTAGAGAAGGAGTCAGTCATCAGCTCCCTGGGTGAGAAAGATAGTCATCAGCTCCTAGGTAGAAAGGGTCAAGTCATCAGCTCTGGGTAGAGAAAAAGGTCAAGTCATCAGCTCTAGGTAGAGAAGAGTAAGCCAGCTCTAGGTAGAGAAAGAGTCAAGTCATCAGCTCCTGGGTAGAGAAGAGTCAAGTCATCAGCTCTAGGTGAAAAGTAAAGCCAGCTCCTAGGTGAGAAAGTCAAGTCATCTCTAGGTAGTAGACATAAGTGTACTTATGTACGTCACGTGGGTACAGTAGTGAACAAAACACTGTACTGGAGATACTGTATTTTTTGTAATATTCAATGCCATAATATCCTGACCTTGGGGATTACTATACAGGATCTTTGTAACCTCTGCTATGTAATCCTCCTACCTGCGCACCGCTCACAGGAGGTATAGGATTGCACAAGTAACTAGCTGTTGTTTAGGTAAAATTATAATTCTTTTCTCCTCATCTCACCTCCCATACCCTCATCTCACCTCACTTCATCTCATCTCTCCCTCACCTCTCCTCCCTCACCTCCCTCACTTCACCTCACTTCATCTCACCTCACCTCACTTCATCTCATCTCTCCCTCCTCTTCTCCCTCACCTCACCTCACCTCACCTCACTTCATCTCATCTCTCCCCTCACCTCTCCTCCCTCACCAGAAGATAAACTACCCGACCAAAGAAGCACCCGACCAATACACTAACCCCTCCCGAATAATTCATAGTCTATTTACCTCCCGCACCACCGACCAAACCTGTCTGTCTGTCTGTCTGTCTGTAGGCTGTTAGAAGCTACTGTGCATGTCTCTCCTCTTTCCACACATATGAAGATAGACTAATTAATTTAGCTATACTGTTAATGTTCCCCCAGGCACAACACTGCCTCGGGGAGAGCAAGGGAGGCGGGGAGAGACAGAGAGCAGGAGAATGGGAAACAGAGAGACGGGAGGATACAGGAGACAGGGAGACAGGAAAGATGCAGAACAGGAGAGGGAGAAGAGGCAGGAAGAAACAGAGATGAGGACAGAGACAGGAGACAGGAGACAGAGGAGAGACAGGAAGAGACGGAGACAGAGATGAGAGGAGACAGGGAGAAAAGGGAGACAGGAGAGACAGAGGGGAAGAGAGGAAGAGACGGAGACAGGGAGAGACAGAGAGAGGGAGAGAGGTCAGGAAGAGACGGAGACAGAGAGAGAGAGATGGGGAGAGACAAAACACAGATTGAAGAGCCTCACGTCACAGGTGTGGTCAGATCTGGGGTTTGGGCACCACCTCCGTACCACCACTACTACCACCATCTACCACAGCTACCACCATCTATAAACATTACCACCTACTACCATCTATAAACATTACCCTACTACCACCATCCCACCACTACCACCATCTATAAACATTACCACCACTACTACCACCATCTATAAACATTACCACCACTACTACAAACATCTACCACAACTACACCATCTATAAACATTACCACCTACTACCACCATCTACAATTACCACCACTACTAACACCATCACCACTACTACCTACATCTATAAACATTACCACCACTACCACCATCTATAAACATTACCACCCACTACTACTACCACCTACCACAACTACCACCACTAACACCATCTACTACAACTACCACCATCTATAAAGCATTACCACCCACCACTACCACCATCTACCACAACTACCACTACTAACACCATCCACCACTACTACTACCATCTATAAACATTACCGCTACTACCATCTATAAACATTACTAGCACTATTACAAACATCTACCACAACTACTACCACCTATAAACATTACCACACACTACTACAAACATCAACCTACTACCACCACTACTACCATCTATAAACATTACCACCAACTCTATAAACATCTACCACAACTACCACCATCTATAAACTACCACCACTACTACCATCTATTAACATTACCACCACTACTATAAATACCTACCTACATCTATAAACTACTACTACCATCTACTAACATTACCACTACTATAAATACCTCCCTACTACCACAACTACCAGCAGCTATAAACATTACAACTACCATCTACCACCTACCTGTTACACAACTACCATCTACAAACATTACCATCATCCCAATATCAACATATACGTAGTAAACATTCCATCGAACCTATTAGAGACGATGGATCCCCTCCACTGAAAACATCCTGAAGGAGGGAGGGACAGGATCTCCACTCCACTGAAAACATCCTGAAGAGGGGGAGGGAGACAAGGATCTCCCTCCACTGAAAACATCCTGAAAGGAGGGGAGGGACAAGGATCTCCACTCCTGAAAACATCCTGGAAGGAGGAGGGAGACAGGATCTTCACTCCACTGAAACATCCTGAAGGGTTAAGTACTGTAGAGAAGAAGAAACTTTTCACACACACAGGGCCCCGCCGACGGCCCTATTCAAGCGGAAAATTCAGCCTTTTCTTTTGCTAGAATACCTGATGAGGGAGGCGGCCTGGTGATACAGACGATAGTGTAGTCACAGCTCCTCATGTATGGTAAGGTGAGGGGGGGGGGGGAGGATGGTAAGAAGGGGGAAGGAAGGCAAGGGGGATGGTGGAGGACGAGAGGGGAAGATGGAGGAGGGAAGATGGAGGAGGAAGATGGAGGAGGAAGATGGAGGAGGAGGAGATGGAGGAGGAAGGTGGAGGAGGAGGAAGGTGGAGGAGGAGGAGGAGGATGAGAGGAAGAAGGGACCCTTGAGTTACACGGGTGTAGTTGCGTACCAGTGAGCAGACTGGTTAGTTGGGCCCCAAGTCCTAATAGGCCCAAGACTTGGTCTCTTTAAGTCCTACGGGGCCTCAAGCAATGTTGAGGAGTAAGCTGGGTTGGGGCCTGTTAGGGTGAGGCCTATTAAGACTGGGGCCTGTTAAGACTGGGGTCTCTATTAAGATTTGGGCCTGTTAGAACTGGGGCCTGTTGGGACTGGGCCTGTTGGGACTGAGGCCTGTTGGGACTGGGGCCTGTTGGGACTGAGGCCTGTTAGGACTGAGGCCTGTTGGGACTGGGGCCTGTTGGGACTGACGCCTGTTGGGACTGAGGCCTGTTAGAACTGAGGCCTGTTAGAACTGGGGCCTGTTGGGACTGACGCCTGTTGGGACTGAGGCCTGTTAGAACTGAGGCCTGTTAGAACTGGGGCCTGTTAGGACTGACGCCTGTTGGGACTGGGGCCTGTTAGGACTGAGGCCTGTTGGGACTGGCCTGTTGGGACTGAGGCCTGGACTGGGGCCTGTTAGGACTGAGGCCTGTTGGGACTGGGGCCTGTTAGGACTGAGGCCTGTTGGGACTGACGCCTGTTGGGACTGACGCCTGTTGGGACTGAGGGCCTGTTGGGACTGAGGCCTGTTAGGACTGAGGCCTGTTAGGACTGGGGCCCTATTAGGACTGACGCCTGTTGGGACTGACGCCTGTTAGAACTGAGGCCTGTTGGGACTGAGGCCTGTTAGAACTGAGGCCTGTTACTGGGGCCTGTTGGGTTGACGCCTGTTGGGACTGAGGCCTGTTAGGACTGAGGCCTGTTAGGACTGACGCCTGTTAGGACTGGGGCCTGTGAGGACTGAGGCCTGTTGGGACTGAGGCCTGTTAGGACTGAGGCCTGTTGGGACTGGGGCCTGTTGGGACTGGGGCCTGTTGGGACTGGGGCCTGAGGACTGAGGCCTGTTGGGACTGAGGGCCTGTTGGGACTGAGGCCTGTTGGGACTGGGGCCTGGGGACTGAGGCCTGTTGGGACTGAGGCCTGTATTGGGACTGGCCTGTTGGGACTGGGGCCTGTTGGGACTGACGCCTGTTAGGACTGGGGCCTGTTGGGACTGAGGGCCTGTTGGGACTGAGGCCTGTTAGGACTGAGGGCCTGCCTGTTGGGACTGGGGCCTGTTGGGACTGAGGCCTGTTGGGACTGGGGCCTGTTGGGACTGAGGCCTCTGTGGGACTGGGGCCTGTTGGGACTGAGGCCTGTTGGGACTGGGGCCTGTTGGGACTGGGGCCTGTTGGGACTGGGGCCTGTTGGGACTGAGGCCTGTTGGGACTGGGGCCTGTTGGGACTGAGGCCTGTTAGGACTGAGGCCTGTTGGGACTGGGGCCCATGGGATGGGGCCTGTTGGGACTGGGGCCTGTTGGGACTGAGGCCTGTTGGGACTGGGGCCTGTTGGGACTGAGGCCTGTTGGGACTGGGGCCTGTTGGGACTGGGGCCTGTTGGGACTGGGGCCTGTTGGGACTGAGGCCTGTTAGGACTGAGGCCTGTTGGGACTGAGGCCTGTTGGGACTGGGGCCTGTTGGGACTGGGGCCTGTTGGGACTGGGGCCTGTTGGGACTGGGGCCTGTGTTGGGACTGAGGCCTGTTGGGACTGGGGCCTGTTGGGACTGGGGCCTGTTGGGACTGAGGCCTGTTAGGACTGAGGCCTGTTGGGACTGAGGCCTGTTGGGACTGACGCCTGTTAGGACTGACGCCTGTTAGGACTGAGGCCTGTTATGGGACTGGGGCCTGTTGGACTGAGGCCTGTTGGGACTGGGGCCTGTTAGGACTGGGGCCTGTTGGGACTGAGGCCTGTTGGGACTGAGGCCTGTTGGACTGCGCTGTTGGGACTGGGGCCTGTTGGGACTGGAGGGCCTGTTAGGACTGGGGCTTGTTAGAACTGGGGCCTGTTAGAACTGGGCTGTTGGGACTGGGCCTGTTGGGACTGGGGCCTGTTGGACTGGGGCCTGTTGGGACTGGGGCTTGTTAGAACTGGGGCTTGTTAGAACTGGGGCCTGTTGGGGCAGGGCCCTGTTGGGACTGGGGCCTGTTGGGACTGGGGCCTGTTGGACTGGGAGTTGTTAGAACTGGGGCCTGTTAGAACTGGGGCCTGTTGGGACTGGGGCCTGTGGGACTGGGGCTGTTGGGACTGTTGCCTGTTAGAACTGGGGCCTGTTAGAGACTGGGGCCTGTTAGAACTGGGGCCTGTTGGGACTGGGACCTGTTGGGACTGGGGCCTGTTGGGACTAGGACCTGAGGCTGATACCTATTAAAACTGGGATCAGTTGGGACTGGGGCCTATTGAGACAGGGGCCTGTTGTGACTGGGGCCCATCTGACCTGCACCAGTATCGTGGGTGCCTGGCAGAGCCCAGGTAAGACACAGGTATCCAATTACAAGGACAACAGTGGCTTGTTCACCTCCACAACTCTGTTCACTTGTGCTACATTTTGTTCCTTGTTCATCGCTATATTTATCAGTTGTGTGTGTGTGTGTGTGTGTGTGTGTGTGTGTGTGTGTGTGTGTGTGTGTGTGTGTGTGTGTGTGTGTGTGTGTGTGTGTGTGTGTGTGTGTTCAGCTACCACACAGGGTTTATTAAGATGCATTGACTGGTCTTAACACCCACGCAGCTTCACCACAAAGGGTTAAACTAAACACCACCTCAATACTGGGGCTTAGAGACTGTCCATGCGTCCGTCCGTCTGTCTATCCGTCCGGGTGTGTCTATCTATCCGTGTGTGTCTATCCGTCCGTGTGTCTGTCTATCCGTCCTCTGTCTATCCGTCCGTGTGTGTCTGTCTATCTGATCGTGTCTGTCTATCCGTCCGTGTGTGTCTGTCTATCCGTCCGTGTCTGTCTATCCGTCGTGTCTGTCTATCCGTCCGTGTCTGTCTATCCGTCCGTATTGTGTCTGTCTATCCGTCCGCGTCCGTCTGTCCGTCCGTGAACTGTGAAACGCGATGACTTGAACAAATATACGTGAATTTCAACCGAATTTGGTGACTGGTTATATCTCAGACTTCAGTGTGGACAGGTATCACCCCCCTCGTGTGGACGGTAACCTCCCCTCGTGTGGACAGGTAGCCCCCCTCGTGTGGACAGGTAACCCTCCCTCGTGGACAGGTAACCCTCCCCGTGGCGGACGGTAACCTCCCTCGTGTGGACAGGTAACCCTCCCCTCGTGTGGACAGGTAACCTCCCCTCGTGTGGACAGGTAACCCTCCCCCTCGTGTGGACAGGTAACCCTCCCCTCGTGTGGACAGGTAACCTCCCCTCGTGGCAGGGTAACCTCCCCTCGTGTGGACAGGTAACCCTCCCCCTCGTGTGGACGGTAACCCACCTCCCCCTCGTGTGGACAGGTAACCTCCCCTCGTGTGGACAGGTAACCCTCCCCCTCGTGTGGACAGGTAACCCTCCCCTCGTGTGGACAGGCTCCCCTCCCCTCGTGTGGACAGGTAACCCTCCCCCTCGTGTGGACAGGTAACCCTCCCCCTCGTGTGGACAGGTAACCCTCCCCCTCGTGTTGGACAGGTAACCCTCCCCCTCGTGTGGACAGGTAACCCCTCCCCCTCGTGTGGACAGGTAACCCTCCCCCTCGTGTGGACAGGTAACCCTCCCCCTCGTGTGGACAGGTAACCCTCCCCTCGTGTGGACAGTAACCCCTTCCTCCTTCCTTCCCTCACTACACCACAACAAAGTCCAGGGGCCATAACGAGGTTCAACATACAACACTCATTACCAGACTCACCTGAGATCTTGTTATAATAAATCAATACACAAAGTTTGGTTAAAATACTTTGTTATTTGTTCAGAGTTATCGTGTGGACAACTACTGACGGACGGACGGACGAGACGGACGGGTTGGCTGGAGCGCGTGAGCAGGCGGGGAGGTGGAGGACACTCGCTCGACGCATATCACGCATACCTGACACGGACACAACTAACACAAGGCAGGTGCAGTGTTGTGATATTTTTGTTTTGCTATTAACCAGTGTTTGCTAACTCGAGATTATAACGCCACTGATATTACCAAATAGGAGACACAGTTACCAATAGGAGACACAGTTACCAATAGGAGACACAGTTACCTTAGGAACACAGTTACCAATAGGAGACCGTTACCAATAGAGCAGTTACAAATATACTGTTAAAATGTTTCACAATGGAGTTATATATATATTTATTTATTTATTTTTTATTTTGGGTATTATTTTTTCTTGGGGGGCGGGGAGGGAAGAAGGGGAAGGGAGTGAGATATCCTGTTCTGTAAACCTTCCACACCCATCCACCCCCACCACACCCTTACCACCACCACCACACCACCATAACACACCCTATCCCCACCACTCCACCCCCTCACCCCTCACCACCCCCTGACCCTCACCCCTCCCCCCCCACAGTAATGCAGTTCTTCACGTTCACAGACGCTGTATTTTAACTTTTCAAATCTATATTTTTACTTTGTTTCGTTAATTCAGAAACAATTGCACACTTACAAGGCCAGGTGCGAGAACAGGTACAGTTACGAGGCTGGGGCAGGTACAAGGCTGGGGCAGGTACAAGGCTGGGGCAGGTACAAGGGGAAGGAGGTATATAATGACTTGTATAAATAAGAAACATACTAATACAGGTACACATACTAATACAGGTACACATACTAGTACAGGCACATACTAATACAGGTACATACTAATACAGGTAAACATACTAGTACAGGTAAACATACTAATACAGGTACACATACTAATACAGGTACACATACTCATACAGGTACACATACAATACAGGTACATACTAATACAGAGTACACATACTAATACAGGTACACATACTAGTACAGGTACATACTAATACAGGCACACATATGTACAGGTACACATACTAATACAGGTACACATACTAATACAGGTACACATACTAATACAGGTGCACATACTAATGCAGGTACACATACTAATACAGGTACACATACTAGTACAGGTACACATACTAATACGGGTACACATACTAATACAGGTAAACATACTAGTACAAGTATACTTATACAGTACACATACTAATACAGGTACACATACTAGTACAGGTATATACTAGTACAGGTAAACATACTAATACAGGTACACATACTAATACAGGTAAACATACTAGTACAGGTAAACATACTAATACAGGTACACATACTAATACAGGTACACATACTAGTACAGGTAAACATACTAATACAGGTACACATACTAATACAGGTACATACCATACAGGTACACATACTAATACAGGTACACACTAATACAGGTACACATACTCATACAGGTACACATACTAATACAGGTTGACACATACTAATACAGGTAAACATACTAGTACAGGTAAACATACTAATACAGGTACATACTAATACAGGTACACATACTAGTACAGGTAAACATACTAATACAGGTACATACTAATACAGGTACACATACTAGTACAGGTACATACTAATACAGGTACACATACTAATACAGGTACACATACTAATACAGGTAAACATACTAGTACAGGTACACATACTAATACAGGTACACATACTAGTACAGGTACACATACTAATACAGGTACACATACTATACAGGTAACATACTGGTACAGGTAACATACTAATACAGGTACACATACTAATACAGGTACACAATACTAGTACAGGTAAACATACTAATACAGGTAGCACATACTAATACAGAGTACACATACTAATACAGGTACACACATACTCATACAGGTACACATACTAATACAGGTACACACATACTAATACAGGTGCACATACTAATACAGGTACACATACTAATACAGGTACACATACTAATACAGGACACACACACTAATACAGGTACACATACTAATACAGGTGCACATACTAATACAGGTACATACTAATACAGGTACACATACTAATACAGGTACACATACTAATACAGGTACACATACTAATACAGGTACACACACTAATACAGGTACACATACTAATACAGGTACACACATTCATACAGGTACACATACTAATACAGGTACACATACTAATACAGTTTTATACTAATACAGGTACATACTAATACAGGCACACATACTAACACAGGTACACATATATCAAATTCTACATACTAAGCACAGGTACACATACTAATACAGGTACACACTAATACAGGTGCACATACTAATACAGGTACACATACTAATACAGGTACACAAACTAATACAGGTACACATACTAATACAGGTACACACACTAATACAGGTACACATACTAATACAGGTACACACATTAATACAGGTACACATACTAATACAGGTACACATACTAATACAGGTACACATACTAATACAGAATTATACTAATACAGGTACACTACTAATACAGGTACACATACTAATACAGGTACACATACTAATAGGTACACATACTAATACAGGTACACATACTAATACAGGTACACATACTAATACAGGTACACATACTAATACAGGTTTATACTAATACAGGTACACATACTAATACAGGTCATACTAACACATTCACATACTAATACAGGTACACATACTAATACAGGTACATACTAATACAGGTACACATACTAATACAATACACATACTAATACAGGTACACATACTAATACAGGTACACATACTAATACAGGTACATACTCAATACAGGTACATACTAATACAGGTACACATACTAATACCCAGGTACATACTAATACAGGGTACATACTAATACAGGCACACATACTAATGGGTACACATACTAATACAGGTACACATACTAATACAGGTACACATACTAATACAGGTACACATACTAATACAGGTACACATACTAATACAGGTACACATACTAATACAGGTACACATACTAATACAGGTACACATACTAATACAGGTACACATACTAATACAGGTACATCTCGAAAGTGCACATACTAATACAGGTACACATACTCTTTAGGTACACATACTAATACGGTGCACATACTAATACAAGGTACACATACTAATACAGGTACACATACTAGATACAGGTACACATGCTCATACAGGTACACATACTAATACAGGTACACATACTAATACAGGTACACATACTAGATACAGGTACACATACTAATACAGGTACACATACTAACACAGGTACACATATAATACAGGTACACATACTAGATACAGGTACACATACTCATACAGGTACACACATACTGATACACAATACTCATAAAGGTACACATACTAATACAGTACACATACTAGTACAGGTACACACACTAATACAGGTACACATACATAATAATTTTATACTAATACAGTGCACACAACACATACAGGTACACATACTAATACAGGTACACATATAATACTGGTACACATACTAATAAGTACACATACTAATACAGGTACACACACTAATACAGGTACACATACTCATACAGAG